CAGCAGGTGTAGGGTTGATTTGTAAAATGTCGTGAATATATCAGGTTTAAAATGATATATTTATTAGAAGAAGCAAGTGTTCCCCTTGTATTCGCTCCCTCGTTCTGCACACCTACTCTTCCTGCATGATATTGCAGGCTGCAGTCTCACAGCAGTTTCTTGCTATAACTCTTGCTTCGAAGAAGTACAACAATAGAGACCAATTACCCTCTGTCTCCAGTCTTATTGCAATAAGCCTGAGGAGAAAAAAAAAAAAAGTGAGTGCACCCCCTCCCCCAGCTACCTTTTCAATTTCAAATCCTAACCCCGTTGGTAGTGCCATTTGTGGATTTGAACTCCCTGGCTTTGTGTGCGGCATTATCTGGAGATTCACCTGGTACTGATCCAATGAACCAACGCAACCTTACAAAGCTGAAGGGAAGAGTGTAGAGTTCTCTTTGTAATAAATCATATGCCATGAAAAAGGATTTCTTTAACTCCTTTCCTCCATTATTCTCCATATCTCACCTTGTGGAAATGGGTCTGTTAGTGAGAGACTTAAACTCGCATGGTAGGAAAAACGAACAGGGGAAGGATAACTGGAGTGAAAGGAAGGCAGAGTTCTTGGAGGTTTCTGTAACTTGGAGATTCTAGAAAGAATAGGTACAACCTGAAAGAATAGCAAGCAGCCCTAAAAATAAACCCAACGTAGGCCTTGGTACTACACCTTCCTCAGTTCTGGAAAGGGACAAGGATGTTATCATTAAAGCAGCTGCATAAGAATTCCTTAAAACCAGTGGTGGGTTAAGCCCCCAGAGGCAAGGAGCTTCTGTCCAGATAATTGCCCATCAAGCTGAATGCTGGTCTGAACATCTTTGGTTTTACAGAGTTGAGCTGGTAACCTCTTGAGATCTGGCTGCCTCCCAAGTAGGGAGGGATGAATACTGCAAAATGTTTCAGTTTCCATTTCAATTTTGAAACTCATTTGCTTTGACTGAATTTGCACTGTGTTTATGTAAATTTATAAACACTGTAATAAATTTATCTACTTATAGAAAACAGAAATTTTTGAAAAAGGCTGGAGAGCGTTTGTGAAATGCAAATTCTAATTCAACAAGAATAATTGCAGAACCTGATTTAAAAGTACATTCAATCACAAAGCAGAAACATAGTATGTGGTCTGTATATGTTGCAAACACTAACAAGCATAATCCAAAATTCAAACAATCGTTAACAACTTAAATATTTTAAATTACATACATGTAGTTTTCTGTGGCATACAAGCTAGGGTTTCACAGTATGAATGAAGAGTACAGACAGGTAATAGTAGCAGTTTACTCTTTGCTTGCTATAGAAAGCTCACGTCCTCCTGATTACACTGTTTTCTAACTTATAACTTGCCAGCACATCATTCTTATCTGGCTCTAGGTCAATATTACCTGCCATGTTTATAAAAGCGTTCATGGGCATGGCCATTAAACCTCATGGAATGGGGCATTCTCCAGTGCCCTTACTCTGGAAATGTTCATCTACTCCAACCCTCACTAATTTTGAAGCTGCTTTTGTCTTCCCTTGTGCCTCTTGGAGTCTGCAGTATTTTCTGTCTTGCTCTCCTCCATGTCCCCTTTAAAGATCATCCTTAAACACTCCTTTGATATAATTGAGGGTTTTTTTTCCCTTGTTATATTTGTACTGAGCACATTAGTTTATTTACTGCACAGGACAGATTTGGAGGCCCCTTCGAAGTCAGGAGAACACTTAGTCACATAAGGAACCGTATTGAAACCAATGACAGTGCTTGCAGTCTGAGTAAGAATGCTGGTCTCAAATATTGAAAGATCCCATGTTATACTGGAACACAGTTGCTTCCCATTGTAGACCTGCTGTTTCCAAAGTATACCTGTATTTGTACTTTGCCTACCCACTTCTTGAAGCAGAAGGTAAACAGTTAAACAATGGAAACAGCAAGTAACATGTACTAGAATTGAGCTGGTTTAGGATTGGTATGGTGAGTTAAAAAAGCAGTGCAAGATACAATTTTTAAGTTACCTTGTTGAAGATCTTACGTTGGAAGTATAAGTCTCAAGGGAGATCACGTCATCTGGGAGCAAGAGAATATAAACAATGCAGGATCTATAATAGACATGTGGGAGATTCTGGCCATATGTTTTGGTCATGTCCTGATATATGTGAGCTTTGGGAGACAGTTCTACATGTAATAGAGTCAATAATCAAATCTGAAGTACCAAGGAACACAACTTGATGTTTCCTTAGAGACACCGCAAGTTTGCAACAGATGAATAAAGAGAGAATATGGTAGATACAAATGTGTCTTTAGGCAAAATGGAAAGTAAAAAGACTTAAAAATGGGGAGGAAGAAAGAAAATTTTACACTGTTCCCAGCCTGTAAAGTAACAGTAATGCTTACATCAGAAATTTAATTAATTGTTGTTACATTGATGAAGATGTGATATACTACATCAAAGACTAGCTAAATGATATTTGGAAATTAATTTGGGTTCCTATTAAATAGAGCTCAGAGGAGCTTTCCAAATGAGTAACTTGTTTGTCAAGCATTGCTTCCTTCTGTTTATAAAGTCTTCTCAAGTAAAGACAACTATTTTCAACTGTTCTTGTTGCTTGAAATGGACTATGAGATTCATCACTAACCAGACATTCATAGAAAATTCAAATATTGCAGATCACAATGTCTTAGTTTCTTAGAAAAGAAAATATTTCTTCCGTTCCCTATAGACATGACTTTATATAAAGTTATCTAAAAAGTCCCAAACCCCAAATTTAACATTGACAATCTGTATTTGAATTTAAAATTTGCTTTTGTTGCTCTATAGCTTGGCTACTTCAATGTGCTTTGGAGATAAACATAATGGAATCAAAATATACTTGTTTTCTGTAGTGTTATTAGCTTTAAATATTCTTAAAATGAAAATGGAACACAATAACCATAGGAGGAGATATGATTTCAGGTTCTGATCTCTTAAGAAAGTTATCCTGTAGAGTGAGCATGCTGTTTTCTTGGGAACTGTGCCAAAATACAGTAAGACTCATGATGATCACCACAGTTCCTGCTTTTGTTAAATGAAAAACTCGTTCTCGTGATTCTGATCTTACACCAGTTTTATCCCAGTGTAATTCCATCTGTGTCTCTGGAAGTACTTCTGATTTTATATTAATGTCTATGAGTTCAAAAGAAGATAGGATTTAGCAGAACTCAGTGGAGAGAGTTTGTTAAGACCAAAAAAGTAAAAAGAGAGAAATCTTATACAATACGTTTTGCTTTATAGTGGAATGGAGACAACTTTCAGAGTTGTCTGTGAATTTGTAGCTCCTGGAGTGTCCAAAGAAGACATCCATCTCTTCTCTAGACAAGCAGACAAGTGACCAGCAAGACGAGGAGGTGGCTTTCTCCACCACAGTGAGCCATCTGGCTCATCTGTACACCAAGTCAGCAGTGATGGAATTGCAGAGCTGTCATTTGGGTGTTTGAACTCCCAGACAACCTGATGGTTGGGTTGTCTAAGGCTGAGGAGCACAGCAGCTCCTGCCTGCCTAGTTTCCCCATAAGAATTTTTATAAAAGAATGTTCCATTAACTTTGCATTTTTTGGTTCATACAAAAATACTCATTCATAATTTTTCAAAATTAATCCTCTGGTTTCATCCCCTTACTTTTCTTAGCATTTCATCTTTCTGTCTTATTTTTTATTTGGGTTTGATGTGTGCAATCATTTGTTTCAGCTGTTAGAGAAGTGAGACATTTTCCCTTCTTTTTGCCAATTAAATTTATGCTTTTTGGCCATCAGATTCTTAGAATTTTTGCCGAAGGATGGCACTACTGGAGTAAATCTCTGTTGTTTGCATAGGTGTGTTTAAAAGATTAAGGCTGAACAGACATTCTGGTAATAGACCAGGGATCAATGAAAGCTCTTCTTTTCTCAAGAAGCTTTAAGGCTTAGCAGTGAGGTTGATTTTTTTTTTGTTTATTTGTTTAAAATATAGAGGAAGCTGCATGTCTGCCTGAGCTTTTGTTATTTGTGTGGTCTTTCTTGGAATTCCTGAACAAGATCTACCCAAGATCCACTGGTCCCAAGCTCAGCTTGAGACAACAGAAGGGGACCTCTCTCCCTGCTTGTATCAATGTCCACAGATTGCCTAGATGATCTCTGCAGTAGGCAAGGGACATGATTTCCCCCTCCTATTTGTGCCACTTGCAGCTTTTTGATTTCTTGTGTTCACTGTAATAACAACCCATTGAGTTTCAATGGGATTTCACAAAGAATGGGATATTATTCTGTGGGGCTGGGAGCAGCAGAATCAAACTCAAGACAATGTACTGAGAGGGATATGAGTCAGAGCAGGAGGGAGAAGCCAAGGTGACATACATGCTTCAATGCCCACAAGATCTGATGGCCAATAAGCTTTTTAACTTAGTGTCTTGGTTGGCTAACTTTTGTTTAGGCAGTTGCGGGAGGGGAAGAGGCTGAGGCCCTGGGTTAGTGGAACAATTATATTCACGCTTTAAATCCCTTAAGCACATACTTAATGGCCATTGATTTCAATGCTCTCAACAGCTTTGCTGAGTCAAGGCCTGACTGAGGGCCTTGACTGGTGATGCAGTTTATGGATCATCTGCGTGCCTATAGACTCCCAGCTAGAGCACCGAAGAGAAGGGAACCTCAAAGGCCAAGCAGGCTCTTCCAGTGCCAGCATGGCAAGCTGGCAAAAGGCAAAGGATAACGTGAACATATGTGGTGCGGAGGGGAAAAATGCTCAACAACCAAAGGTGTTTCATCTGATACTCTGCTGGTCATGTTATTTCTGAGAGTGGCCACTGCTGCAGGCTCTCCTCATCCTCAGAAGAGCATTTCCCTTGTTTTTTCCATGAGAAAAACTTGTTTAAATGTGTCAGCTGCATAATATAGCCCTAATTCTGCAGCTGAAGCCAGAAGAGGCTGCAGTCCGTATAAGTTGTTTTTGTGTGTTGTTTTTTTGTGTGTGCAGGTGCTCCCTGATGGGCTTTGATTTAAATCGGCACTGGGCAAATCCGTCTCCCTGGGCTCATCCCACACTGCACGGAGTGAAACAGCTTATCATTGAGATGTACAACAATCCGGTAAGTGAGGAAAGGTGATGCCAGAACAGCCACTTGCTGAGGTACCGACTCTCTCCCTCCGTGGGGTTGCGCAAGATGCCAGTAACTGCTGTGGCTTAGTCCAGTGGCAAACCAAAATAAGAGACAAGTAAGCGAACACCACCCCCGGTGCATGAGATCAGAGACACTTGTGGGTTTTGTCACGGGAAGTATCAGAGTGGAGAGAGCAAGTGAAATGAAGTTCAACTCAGATTAAATATGGAATAATTCTGAAAGCAGGGCCTAAATTCAATCGAGCTGCTCTCGTGATGTCCTGAGCTGGATTCAAAGCAGCAGGCCCCCCAAACTGAATTACTGAATGGCATTGATGTTTAATCCAGAGCTCCGGCAGGGGCTGCTATGTAGCGTGCAGAGCAGGAGGGGGATAATATTTGCAAATATTATATAAACACACACGCACACACTCATGCTCACTCAGAGAAGCAGAGGTGTTCTTGAAGGTGAAATCTTAGCTAATCAGAGGAGATGGATTGCAGAGAATATGGAGAAGAGGAGTGGGAGGGAGGCAGACAGCTATTGAATGTTTGACATCAAAGCGCAGAAGGATTATTGAATGTGGCACCTAAGAAAAACTGCTGAACAAAGATGAAGATGGGTAGGAAAAAATCACTGCCAAAAAAATGAGAGGAGATTTTCTAGATTATTATTTTTTCTGTATGGAATTCCGGGTATCTGTCCAGGTTTTTTTGCTTCCTGTTACAGAGATGGCATTTGGATCTTTATTTCCCTGAAGTTTTGCTAATTGGTTGGGTTTTTTTTCATTTGGTTAGTGTAAAAAAGGACCCGGTTTGCCTTGCTAATAAAGAAAGAGGATTCTTACACCTAGCTACATCACGTATAGGATAAGAGCTCCTTTAATTTAACTCCTGGTTCTCCCAACACAACTGGAATTTTAATCTTCCAGATAGTAATAATACCTGTATAGAAGGGGTTTTAGGTACAAGGAAGATAGAAGGCCCTTGCAATTGGATTCCACTCCATATGTAAGGAAAATATTTTCTCAGACTGCTAATTGGTTGGTACAGAATTTCTGTTTGTGCAGCACCTAGCATTGTGCCTGTGACCAAGGCTCCTAAGCTCTGCAGTATTAGAGTGGTGGTGATGGAAAGTACAGAAAGGAGCATTACAGCCAGCCTGGTCTTTCCTCTGTTTCCTACCCCACATAACAAGACAGTTTTCATTCTAGATGATGGAGGCTGCTTTGTCTGAGAAGGATTTTTTTTTTTTTTCCAAGAATAAAGAGGTCCTTAAACATTACAAGAAAGTTGGGTGTAGGGAAATGCTTCTAGCTAATAAAGCAACAAAGGCGCTATCAAAAGTCCCTGTCAGTAAAATTAAATCTGTTCTTGGGGGAAAAATAATTCTTTTCAGCTTTGTCCCATTCCTGAGAAGCTTTGAAAACTCTGGTAGTTTCCAGCTGCCCTATGTGTGAAGAATGAATTTATTTGCTGTGGTGGCTAAAATGAAAAATCAAAAGAAATATTTGGTCAGAGTTGGTCTGAAATGGAAATCTTTTTTTTCCTCCATCTCTCTGTCTCCTACCCTTCCCCAGTGATCAACCTGAGATGAACCAGTTCCAGTTCATTTCCTTCTGAGGGAAAGAAAAAGGAGCCTTTCAAACACAAGTGCAACATTTCATTTTCAGGGTTATTTAATATTTTTTTAAAATACTATTTAGGAATCTCTTTTTGGATTAAACTACAAGCAAAGTTCAGGTGGCTTTTCAGAGTTTCATTTCTCAGTGAATTAGCTACTCACCAAAAACCCTCTTGTCTGGTTTTATCATCCCCTAGTCAATACCAGCCTTTCTGAAAGTTTTAGAGATGCTCAGCAATACAATGTAGTATATAGGATTATGGTTTTTTTTCAGGCAATACCAGCTTCTTAGTCCCTCTGATACCAGTAATATTTGTATGAACAGACCATTTCCAAAGTGATGGGACAAAAGGTGAAAACATGCCAGCTGCCTCAGAGAGAGGGCATGGGACTGTATGTGGGCCATCCTGCTTCAGCAGGGACTGTTTTTATTAAGTACTTGAACTAAAAAAAAAAAAAAAAAAAAAAACAGAGTGCCAGAATAAAAACCTCTCTTCAGGCTGCTAAAGATTTTAACTACTCTCCAGGTGTAGAGTGTAACTTTTAGATGAGTAACACATGATAGATGGTTGGCTGCATGCATAGGTGAACCAGTTGCAGGGGGGCTGCTGTCAAACTGCGACAGATCAGGGATTACGCATTTGAACACGTCTGTTCTTCCACCCTCTTCTCACCTGAAGTCTCCCCACGCTGGGGAATATGAAATGAAATAAAATGCAGAGTAAAGTTCCCTGCAAAATAATGTAAATAACCTTCATCTCTCCCATTCCAGACAAGATCTGCTGTGAGGAGCTGTCCACAAGAGATTGGATTGTTTAAAGCAGAGGAAGTTCAGCTTCATGTTGCCATTGCAGAATGGCTCAGTGCAGGCCTTTTAGATGTATTCATTCCCTTAAATCATTTAAGGAAAATTAGCTGCCATAAGAGCATAAAAACACATTTTAAATATTGCTGTGTAGGATGATTTTTCTTCTGCTGCTGCAGCATGGAAGATAAGCTGTTTCCTTTGAAAAAAGTTCATTCTGGAGGGGGGAGGATGACTGACACAAAAATAAGTGCAATGGGTACAAGGTGCACATACAGTGCCATAGCTAGAGCGATTCCACACTGAATGGTCCAAGTCTAAGAGTCCACCGTCATTACTGTATCAAAATAAACTAAAGCACCTGTGGTTCTCTTCTTCTGGGTTTTACAAAAGGTGCTTGTTTTATTTTTAAAGCGTTTCAAATTCCATGATGACCATATCCTCTTTAGGAGGGAGTGAATGGGTCAAGAAATCAGAGAACAGTAAGAAGCTTTTGATCTCCATGTCACTGATTTTGAAACAATCATTCCTGATGGTAAGTCACTGCCATTGTGTTGGCCTAAGTGAAGAGAGGGGATATTCTCAGCTGTTTCTAGCCGTGTCAGTCTTATAGATGAGACTGAAGTGACAGACTTGCTCTCCTACATCATGTGCTGTTGGCTGAAGATATTTCTGTTCTTAAGTACCCTTCCTTGCCCATATGCCAGACATCACTGCCTTCCCACCTCTCCACCAGACGATAGGTGTAGATGATTCCCCTGTCTGTACTGGAGCAGGTTAGTGAAATAAGCTCAGAACGTGAAAGTTTTGTTTAAGCCAACTCAGCTGACTTTTGTCTGAAGTATGTCAAAGGATGTTCGTATGGGCTGTTCCAGCAGCTCAACTGTGGGGCCGGGAAGTTCTGCTTGGGCATCACATAGAGAGCTGTTTGGAGAATGAATGTCTATTAGCCTAGCTAAGGAATCTAATAAAGCATATATGCACAGCTGGATTTAAACACATGCACAGTCTGATTGAATCCGGCAGTGTTGCTTGCGTGCTTATGGTTAAGCAAGTGCTTAAATGTTTTAGACTGGGGATTAAGTACTCGGCACTGGCAAGATCAGGATATGGATGGTCTATGGAAATCAAACAGTCCTTGTATCTGGCTTAACGTGAAGCCTCGGAGACAGAGAGCGCAGCATAACTGCTTGATTATTGGACAGGTTTCGTGTGGCCATCCAGCACTTTTCCCAACAAGCAAAAGCGCTCTTTAAATCAGATTTAATGAGTGAACTTAGGTAGCGTGTTCAGTGTCAGCTCAGTCCCCTTGAGTATGTGCATTGTGATATGGTCTTTAATCATAGGGGCTCGTGTTATTCTCTCAGCTAGACCCCTGCCTCACTGAGTTCTCCAAATGGAAAACTTTCACATAATAAGCAGCTATTCAGTGTTTTGTTTTACCTTCAGTGTTCATTGTGTAGCCCTGTCCTGTATTTACTGTGCGCTATTCAGATCCTCTGAGGATAGAATTGTTAATCTCCTCGTGGGCTTTTTTGTTTTGCTCGCTGCTATACCCTGGGAGCATTTCAGAAGTGTTAATTAATTCATTTTTGGGGACCCTTGTGAGAGACAAATACATTATTCTTGTATGGATAGGAAACAGAGGCAGAGACAGTTATGATGAGAAGTACCTACTCAAGTGAGATAGATGATTTAAGATGCCTGGGATCAGATTTGTTTCATGCCATTCACCAAGGCTTGATATGTTCACTGTCTCATTTCTACCCCTTCATTCTTCAAGGAAGATTAAGATAGACTATTTTTGTCATTTGGAGTTCTTAGGGCCTAGAAGACAAGGAATAGGGCAGTGACTGAGTGCTTGGGAAGAATCTGTTTCAATTGATTTGCCCCCCTCAAATGAAAATGCAGAGGTGGAATGCAGTGCTCCCAGGCACCCTCAGTGCAACACTGTACTTGGACTTTTTGCATCCATCTTTCTTCTATTCTGCCTGTTTTCCATCTCCTGTTGTCATTGAAGCTGGAGTCCAGCATGCAAATGATGCCTGTGTTAGCCACTGTTCACCTTGTGCCGTGAGTGAGCTGGAGACCAGACCGAAAAGAAAAACCCATTCACCTGGGGTGTGCTCATTAATTAGCATCTCCTTTGTCATGCACACATATGCCAAAGTCTTAAATTATTTCTGCATAGGCAACCTTTCTGTTTCCATTCCTGAATTTGAAGTGCTTGATGTTGCAGCCTTTGCATACTTTTAATACTATACTGGGTGGAAGTTTTCATTGATTCAAAGCAAGGCATACAGCTGAAATGAAGCCCCAGCATGCTGAAATCTGAGTCATCTGCTGGGCTGGAACCTTTAGATCCACCACACAGACATCTGCCACAAGAGCTGATAAATTAACTGATAGTGGATGGCAATCTGCTATTGCTGTGGACTGGCATGAGGAAGGGAAAGAGACATTGCCCGTGGGCTTTGTGGATATCTGCTGACAATAGAATTAATAATAAGAAAGGATGAGTAAACATAAGACTGCAGACATGGGGGAGGGATATTTAAGG